TCAATTATACGAGGTGTTTTTATATAAGAAAAAGGATATAACAGCTATTCAGAAAAAACTTGGTATTAATAGTAATATGTTAAAGCAAATAAAACACAAGCCTGATGGAAAAACACTTGCTGATTCATATAAGTTGCTACTATATTTGGTGAGAGATTTAATACTGATACAAAAAAATCTTAACATTGATGGCAACCTCATTCTGGTAGTGAAATATAATAATATGGCAAATCAAAACAATAGAAATTCTTCTAATTTGTCACTTTCAAAATTATTTAATTTGCTTTTATACTTGAAAGAGGATATAAATATAATTCAGGAAGAACTTGATATTGTTGGTTATACTAATGAAAAAATAGCAGAAGAAGCTGATAAAAATGCGAGAGTATACCTCTAAAGATTTGAGAAATTTCACAGCCTCTTAAAAGATGATCTAGGTATGTTAATAAAGAAATTTGCTAATTTAAGGATAAAAAAATTTTGGTTTACTGGTGAGAGACTACTATTATTTCCAAATGTCTCTTCTTAACAATTGCATGAAATTTTTGTTAAAAAATTAGCTAGTACCAATCAGTGCCTATGTCTAGAATCAAAAGTAAAACAAGAAAAATTATCATGGATATATATACATCATAGCAAATAAAAATTCTTTATTTGAAATTAGCTAGAGGTTAAAAGAAAATGCAAAGATAGAAAAAAAACTAATTTTTAATAATACAGTATCTGAGTTCTCATAGTGAATCTAAATTATCTAATAATGATGAAGATTTTACTATGGATGTGATAAAAATAAAGAAGCGTAATTAATTATTATCATCATAAAAATAGAATGGTCTTGCTTGCTCTGGAATCTGTTCTTTTTTCTGATAATTTACTATAACATAATTCTGTATTGAAGAAATATGATTGTTGAAGTTGTAATGTAGACATTCTTCAGTAATGATATAGATATAAACTAAATTCTTAGCTTTATGTATTATTATATCATAAACTACTTTTAATTTATGTAAATATTTAGAAATTAAATCATAATCTTTTAAGAATTTATTGAACTATTTAACTTCTGGCTTACCTGAATTACCTATTCATCTAGATAATATAGTATGCTAAATTCAAATAAATAGTTCTTTAACTCATTCTTAATTCTTTTTTATAGATCTAAATTTTCTAGGAATATCTAATTAATCCCAATTTTTTATATATTCTGTTACTTTAGCATTTGTAATACATAAAGTTATAAGTTTAGCAGAATTAATATAAAGTATCATCATGATATTAGCAAGAGCCTAATAATTAGACAGAGTTTTTAAATCATATGCATCTAATCTTTCTTTGACTGATTCTAATATAAATTCATCTAAATAGTTAATATGATTAGCTTTAGCCTTTTTTCAATTACCCTTTGAATTTTATTAGCATCTTCTGTAATATCTGGAAATTTCATAACCTTGATAATCTGGAATAAAGTACCAATATTTCTTAATTCTCTCTAAAGTCGTGAAAGATATAATGAACTAGTATTAACATTTAATACTAATAAAACTAAGACATAAGCTTTAGCTCTTATATCTCTAATACTAAATTTATCTTATAAAATCCATTATACTATATTTCTAATAGTTTCTTTCTCTATTTCTTTAGAGAATTAATTGAAAATTGCAATATTCACATTTTTATTGCAAAATAATAGAGCTCCATCCTTATCTGAAATAGTTACACTTTCATTTTTCTGGATTAAGAATAAGATATTTACTTGATTCTCACTAAATCTGTATCTATTTTACAAGATTTATTTTGTTATCTCTCTGATAATTTCTTCTTCCAGATTTTTTGGAGGTGATATGATAACTATTTTATAATTATTTTTGATAATATTTATAGTTTTAGTTTTCTCATTTCTCTGGTTAGGTATCAATATGCTTATCTAATTACTGCTAAATTTAAAATCATTCTAAAAATATTGTTAACTTGATTCTACTTTTTATTATTAGTAAGGTTCTTAAGAAATTCAGAGATATATTAGCTAAGTTCAGAGTCACTTATCTTTAGAGTGAGAGTATATTTTTTAATGATTTTTATTATAATAGCTAACATGATTAAATATTATAATAGATCAAGTAGTTTATAAATAATTCTTTAGATTATATATATTATAGAAAATATCTTTTCAAATCAAAATTAATTATCTGCTGATAGCTATACCCAAAAATTAAATGGATCATGATATTGTAATTCTATTAGAAAATAGATATAAATAAGACACAAGATAAATTGAAAGTTTTAATTTATATATGCCAGATATATAATACATATCAATATCTTGGATCAGATCTGTCAATTTAAAAGTTATCAATATATAGGATATAATGAAAAAAATTTTATAACTTTGGGATAGAAGTCCAGACTATAATAACACTTTACAATATTTTATTTTTATTTTTTAATATAACTCTCAAATGGTGATGAAGGAATTAAGATCTCTTTCCAATGCATATATTTATCATGTATTAATTTATTATATATTGGTCCATCAATTGCAATTATGTGATTTATTTTGGGATTATAAATTTTTGACTTTCTCTAACAATTAGTTAATTTGAATAATTGCTTAGTAATAATTATTTCTTTAGTATATTCCAGTTCTTTAGTGTATAATTTATATATTTTTGTATAGTATATATATATATGTGATATATAATATTAATATATATTTAATTATATTATTATAATATAATTTAGAAAAGTTTAAATTAATTTTTATATACTATATATAAAAATATAAGTAAAAAATATGGTAGTATTTATACAAAGTTTTATAGAATGAGAGATTATAAGTAATATTTCAAATATTATCTCTAACATATCATATATTATTGTAATCTGAAAAGATTTAAATTGATTTTATATTAAATATATTTACATAAAAAATGAAACAAATTTTATATATTATATATTAAAACACTCTGAATAGAAAATTCAACCTATTAATATATTAAAAGAAAGAGTTCAGAGTGTTTAATCTGTTCATATATTAAAAGAGATGATATAATTTGTGGAAAAAGTTATTGACAAGATATAGGATGTTCATTATATTAAAAATTATATAATAGAAATATAATAAAATTTTCTTATGAGATCTGTGAAGAATGAATAATTTCTGGGATGAAATATTATTCTAAATATGTGAAGAAGATTTATTTTTGAAATTGGTATAAGAGACAAAAGGTGCAGAAAATAGAAGTGGATGAATAATTATATAGATCCTAATATTAAGCATTACAAAAATAATATTCATAATATGATATTTTTTATAAGTATCAATTCTAAACATCACAAAAATGGTCTTTGTAATAGATTTTTTACAAGTATTAATTTTAAATATCACAAAAATGCCCTTTGTAAAATATATCACAAACTCTAAATACTTATTTTAAATGATATTGAATAAGTCCTGAGTATTTTATGAGATATAATTAAGAGGTGATTCTAATTTATCAGGTAAGAGTTTATTATATTTATAACATATATCTTTACTATTTTTATAAAATTATTCTTTATCTGTTTAATATGATGATAATTTAGGAGTATTCTCATAGTTAAATATTCTAACTAGATGGTAATGCATATTTTTATTATTAGTAGCTTTAAATTTTATCTTATAGATTGCAAAAAGTACTAAATTTAATAAATCAAATTTTGCTTTATCTAATTTTAAGCCAGATTTTTTAGCACTATAAGATGTGTCTGTATTATCAAAAATCTGAATCATTTTTGATATTAAATTTTGAAGATATGTTATCAATTCTGATGAGTTTAAGCATATTTTGACATCAATAACTTTATATCTATTTTGATTATTAATATCTTTAATAGATATATAAGTCTTTAGTAATTCCAGATAAATTTAATACTTCTCAGCTTGGATAACAATTATAAGTCTATCATTTCTATAATCTTCATGAATAATAACTTCAACCACTATCTCATTATTAGTACCTACATCTCATAATTTCCAGAGATTTCTGAACTATTTTATATGATCATATTTATTATAATCTGTAATAAATTTTTCAGTTATAGATTCAGATAATATTCTATAGCAATCTGTAATATGATATCAGTTTAATATATATATTTTTTTTAAAGTTTTCTTTGGCTTGTTTTCTAGATATTTGGCCATCTCATGATTGAAAATATTGGTACTAGCAATATTTAAAATTTTCTCTGCTTTAATAGCTGAAAAATACCTCTTTATTATTTTAGTTAATGTCACAGTATCATCTTTAACTTTTAGAGTAACTTTTATTATAGAAACTATCATACCTGTCTTTTTAAGAAAATCTACCATTCTTCACTCAAATAAATGATGAGATTAGAATTTTTCCAATATATATACCACCCATAATCAAATTATTAGAATATTCTTATTTTGAATTATAGATTTTACATCTGGGAATATTTCTCTATTCTGAAGTTTCAGAAGTAGAGATTCTCATTTTACTTTTAATAATCAATTAAATAACTCTTCTTCTATAATAGGAATATTAGATGTTCTTTGCTCAATATAACACACATAATCCTTGATATATCTCATATGAAATAGTATTTGATTTATTCTAATATTTATTTTAATATAGCTGTTAAAGAGACAGAATACCTGCTTAAACTTGTGATTAATATAAGAAATATCTATTTTTAAAATGCTATAGTGACTATCATCTATAAACTGCATAGTTTAAAATTTTGGATATAGATCACTACGTGATTTTTATAATAAATTACATGTCCATATATTTTTTATTATAATAAATATATAGTATATACCATCTCATAATTTTATTTTATTTAATTCTAATAATACATACTTAGAGATATAACAGTAAGACTTATACTTTCTGATAGCATATTCTGCCAACTTATCAGTAATTTCCTTTCTATACAAATTCATATAGCACTATGCTTTTCTAGCAAATCTTATTATAATTGTATCAACAGATTTCAAGACTACAAAAATAATATGTTGCAAGCCTGATCAAGAATAATTACAGTTCTCTTGAGTATATCTTTTTGCTGCATCCCAATATTGCTCAATATAATTCAGTTCACAGTAGAACTTCAGGTAAAAAATATATTTATATCTAGCTTCCAGTATAGCTTCTTCTAACATACTTTTCTGTAATAAAAAATCTGACTATAATGAAATAATTCATCATGCACAACAGTCCATCCAATTTATATCATTAATCTTATTCTTGCATAACTTATAGTTAGCACTTAATCCATTTTTCCATAATTCATATTTGATTAATATCTATTTCATCCCTTTAGGCTTGTTTTTTCATTAACTATTGATTAATGGCAATTATCTGATCTAAAAATCATATCTTGCATTTTTGG